TTTCATATCTTACTGCTCACATACCCTTCATATGCTCATGCATAAAACATCAAGGGCGATCAAAGAAAAAAATCAATCATGTGAAACAAGATATTACTTATACAATTAGAAGCGAAAAGAATAAAAAATCACACGCTTCTTTCTAATTATCCTTTTTTGTATACATTAGGGTGTGGGTGTGGGGTGTGGATGTGGGTGGGTGGGGTGGGGTGGGGTGTGGGTGGGTGTGATTCTTCTCGTTACTGACTGCAAGGCCGATATCCGCACCCACACCCACCACATCCACACCCACACCCTGAACGATTTTCTATGCGAAATTCATTGAATTTATTGAATCAAATTCTAATCTTTTCTTTTTATATTTTAGATTGATTTCGGCGATACAAAACTAAAAAATTCAATTCAAAACGAGACAATAAAAAACAATCTAGGTATTCCTTTTTTTTTTATTTTTTATCTCTTTTCGCTATCATGTGGAGGGTAGTAAGTCCTCCTGTGATCTTTTTTATGTATGTTTTCTTTTATTTTAGCCGCTGATCAATGAAGAAAAAGATAACAGGAGTAAGTTATTTTTGTTTTTTCATCATTGAACATTTTTTTTTCTTTTCCTTTTAGACGTCATCATTCAACATCAACCGGGAGAGTTCTTTTTTTAGATGAGAATAGATAAGACTGAGCAGAGTAAGTGTTAGAGAGGGTGGGGGGGGAGGGGGAGTTCTGACTGTTGAGGTTAGGTTCGCCTTTGAAGAAGGACTTCCGGGTAGTCCCTAAAAGCCCAGCCAGGAACTGCTTTGGTGTCCATGGCAACACGATCGAGCCCCAAGGCTCATTGACGCATGTCATCGGATGGGTGCATGTGGATAAGGTGTGTCTTCCCGCGCGTGCATGAGCATTACGCTCGCCACGGCTCCACCAAAGTTGTTCTGGGTCGCGCGCGCGCGTGCGAGAATAGAATAGCTTTCAATGCATTTTTCATTCAATCACGATTTATTTGAAACAGAAAAAAGTGAACAAAACAAAAGAAATCATCAGAATTCAGTTCATTCGATATTAAATTTTTGTACTCGATGATTTGCGTGATCGACGACATAGAGATTGCCATGCCGATCGAATGATAAACCAACGGGTTCATTGAGCTGATTCGACTGTGCTCCATAACCGTTTTCATTAACAATGATAATTCCTTGTGTGGCTCCTTTTGGGCAACGCATGATTCGATCATTCTCGGAGTCAGCCACATAGACAGTACCCAATTGATCAACAACGACTCCATTAGGTTTTGACAATTGTTTGAGACTAGGTCCTTGTCGTTGACCACCGGCTACAACAATGCCTTGTTTTGCATCTTCTTCCCATTGCATTACACGATGATTGTCAGTATCAGACACATAAACTGAATGATTTCGATCGACAAATACGTAGGTGGGGTTAGAGAGTTGATCGAGACAATTTCCTTGTCCATTGCCACCTGCAACTACTGTTCCCTTAGTATCACCAATTTTATATCGTCTCACTTCATGTTTTTTATTGTCAACGACATAGAGACAACCATTGTCGTCCATTGTCAAACCCCAGCAAAAGATATTCGAAATAATTGTTTCTCCACGAGTACCATTTTGACGAGGCCATAGAACTACTCTTTTATTGCAGATATCGCTGATGATGAGACTATCTCTCTCTTTGTCGATAATCACATCTGCTGGGTAGCGTAAATTATGAGCATCATTTCCTTGTCCATTTCCACCGGCAACTACTTTTCCATTCGTTGCACCAGATTTCCATTCCACAATACGATCATTTCCAAGATCAGCAACATAAATCGTTTGATCGTCGTCGATGTACAAGCCATATGGGTTAAAGAGTTGATTGGTGTCACTGCCATCTTCATTTCCTCCAGCAACAGTGATCCCATTCTTTGACCATGTTGCATCCGGATGAATATCAATCGTACTTGCACGTAATGGCACTAAAATGAAACAAAAGTATGGAGTAGACATAAACATTGATTTCATTGAAAAATAAGTGCTTCATTTTGCTAAGAAATTCATGGGATATTTGTAATTTAACTGATACGATCAGAAAGGATAAATAAAACATTTCTCAGAAGAAAATTGTAAAAATTATCGAATTTTGAATGAAATTTTTTTTTTTAATATCCAATATGGAAAAGCGACATTTCGTACCAATTTTTCATCGATTGTGACAGATAAACCTTAAAATTGGACTGGAGTTTGGAATGAAAATGACAGGAAGATCGACTCAACTTTTCAGTAACATCAGGTCGGAAAATGGATTGACACGAGACGTTCTTCATTTGATTTTTACTTGATTTGGTCAACATAAGTATATGGAAAGATTAGTTTTATTTCAGTATAAAAAATTCAAAACCTATTTTAAAACTGTCTGATATTAAGAGTCTTTCATCATATGATTTATTTTTGTTGAAAAATGATGGAGAACGAGTTTTTTTCATAGATTTACGGAAGAAATTTTCAACTTGCTAAAGTTATTTTACGTTTTTCTCCGAAGGGTGTGGGTGTAGGTTTTTATTTGATTATTCTAGTTATATGAATCCGTTATTGTCTATTATAAGAAAGAAAGAATTAAAACAAAGTTGTTACAATTTTCTAAAAAATCGTATTATAAAATCTCGATTTATTTCATCTCAATTTTCGGACACTATATCACATATAGCAATATTCATTGAAAGTGACAGCTGAAAACCGAGTTTGTTTTTTCGTAAGAATGTCGTTAATGTAACGTAAATGACATTGGATGGTCTACAATCATCATTGAATCGAGTTGCAGTATTTTAACATTCATTTTGTTATTTCGAATCAGAGTTTCTGATTGTTTTTAGAGAGTGAAAGACAAGGAAACTTTTTTCTACATAAAAAGAAACAACAATTGTGTTTTTGTGGAAATCTCGTTTGTTTGATATTTGTTCTCACAAAAAGTCAAATCTCAATCGTTGGAAACAGTTATCTAACTCAATTTTTCACTGAGAATAAAAAAATGTTCTTGTTTTATAAAATGAATCGAGATTCTTTTTTTTTTTCTTACAGGTTGATGCGCTCAAATTTAGAAATGTGAATTTGAATTTTTCGTATATCGAAATCAGAATCTCAAATTCAATTCTCATCAAAATTTCAGATGTTCATTTTTAATAGAATACCTTTGAAAATCTAACGAAAATTAAACATTAGAATTTGTATACTGATCTAAAAGGAATTGTTGATAAAAGATTCGATTTGTAATAAAGTTAGTGGTCAGCAATCATGTTGACATTATTTCACACTGCATCGGCACTAATTTAGGAGACTATCGAAAACAAATTCAAGATTATATAATGCATCGTTATTGAGATATATGCAAAGTAGATAATGTTGCAAACATCATAGTACATCAAATAGATGTAAAGTATTCGGTAGAACAATTTCTGAATGTTTTGAGCTTATTGAGTGCTATAAAAAAGTATCGAAAATCATTATACAAAATACATACTTTTGGAAAAATCTCAGTCAGACATTGATTGAATCAAAAGCAATATCGTTGTATGTAAATCAAAAGCTATCGTTATAAGAATTTGAATATATAATTTTTTACCAATTTTAAATCGAAAAAACATTTACTCTTTCATAAAGTTCATAAAAAGCAAATCAGTTGTTAATTATGGATTGTTTCGAAAATTTAACTTTTATAATAAAATGGTATCTGATTTTAAATAGCCTATTCTCTGAAAATGGACATCACTATTTGAAAAGTCCGAAACAAAAAAAATAACATATCATATTGTGTGGATGACATAGAAATATATTTACTTACTTACGCTACTAAAATAAAAATCGTCTACTGTAGATTAGGTTACGTTATCAAATTCTTTTTTCTAAGTTCTTGGAACGAAAAACACTTTGTACGATTGAGTTTATTTCAAAAAATTGTTTAGGTTCATCTTGAAAAATTTTCAATATATCTATGAATAAGATTCGTAACTTCAGATGCAGTGTGGTGTGGGTGTGGGCGTAGATGTCAATCATCTCTTTACCGAGAGTCACAAGCACATCCACATTCAACCACACCCCCACCCACATGTCTCGAATCATGTATTTCATAACAAAGTAACTACGTGTTTGGCATACACTAAAAGCCTTTTTGGCTAGTATTTGGTTAGTCAGTATGTATGGGGAACTTAAATGATTAAGCGGAAGAATTTGTAGTCAGATCGGCCTCCTGTCCAGGGCTACATTTAGTAATAGACGCAAAAAAATATCGGACTCTCGAAACCCGACTCGATAGTGGGTTTTGATGTGTGTGGATTGCCATAAATAGATGGTCTCATTTGTTGTTTTTTTTTCAGAGCTTAGTTTGAAAATACTCACAGTTGATTTGTTTTCCTGGACTTCGTTGTTCTTCTTCAATACCACGTTCATCTTGAATTTCTCGAATGTAGATAAGTTGATTCCAATCAATTTGATTATTTTCAACAATGATACTTTGAGTTTTATCTTTTTGAATGAGTTTTTCAAGTTTTTGTTTAATTTTATCGATTTCTTGTTTAAGTTGATCAATATGATTTTCAACAAAAGTTTCTTCTTCTTGACGTGAACGAATTTCTTTTGTAATTAATTCAAGTTGTTTTGCTATTGCTGCTCGTTTGTTATCGATTAGATCGGTAAGTTCATGCTGTGCCTTGTCTGCTGCTCTTTCAACTTTGTTGATTGTTGTTTTTTTCCATTGTTCAATTTGAGCGAAAAGATCCAACGACGAATAATTTGATTTTTCTAACTTTTGTATTTGATCCAGAAGTTCATCATGATATCTAACTACTTCGTTATCGAATTGTATCGCTAATTGTCCTTCATGTTCTCGGAAGTTCTTCGGACAAAAGTATTTATTACATCCAACGCAAAAGCGGACGCCTGCCAATTTATTGCAGACTGAACATAAATTTGATTCATTTTTTGTTGCCATTTTTCTGAGAAGAAAATCAATCGAATTATGTTACTTATTATGCAAATATGTTAATCTAAAATGAATCCATATGAGTATTTATAAAATTATAATATGGATTGCTTCATAAAGACAGAGAAGTAAGATTATATTAATCTTAAATAGGTTCCTATGTTTTCAACTAACAATTACACTTGCTTTGTTCAAGTTCAACTATCTTAAATATTTCATCAATTCTTTCGGACGATGAATCAAATCTTTTGAAATAAAGCAGTTTATGTCGATAGTTCATTGAGTAAAATATATTACTTAAGATTTAAATAATTCTTAAAATATCACTTATAGAAGACAAAAGTCGAAAAAAAGTGAGAATTTTCTCACTAAGATGTTTATTTTGTCCGTTTTGATAGGAAAACAATTTTCTTAGAAAATTTCTCGTTACTAACATTAGAGAATTTTTCTTATTTTGTTCGTCTGTCTACTGTCTTACTTTGATGTGTTATAGCACATAAATGCAAGACAAAACAGCGATGTATATATATATAGGATGACAGAGAATTTTAAGTTGTACTGAACTTTACTAACACTTAACAAAAAGTTATTCTCAGTTTACATGTGAATGAAAGAAATCGAAAAAAATAACCAATGTCGATCTATGTCTATCGAGAGTTTGCTCGCTTGGTGGATTCTACTACTTTTCTTTTCGATAAATAAATGTAAATCAACAAATAAATAGAGGAGATGATGGAAAATTTCAAGCGTTACCACAATACGCAATTGCCTTGTTGGAAAGTAAAGCATTTCTACAATGATGAAAAGCTTAGAAAACTTATTTCAAGAACAATCCCACAATTAACTCCGTAGAAATCTATTGGGGAAATAATTTTTACAGCATTCGATTGATTTTCTCGAGCATAATGAAAATAAATCATTATTTTTGTTTTATCTAAACATCTAGAATTATAATTTATAGGAAGTCACCAAGACAGAAATGTTAGAAATGCTGGTCGGTCGATGTCTCGTTTTGGACAAAATACAGAATTTCATTCAAAAACACTTGAGTTAATGTATTTTGCTCTAAACGAAATTAAATAATGAGCATATTTTCACAAAAAAATCAATATCGATCGAAATTGAATCAATTGTGATTCTGTGTAAGAACTTAGAATATGGGAATAAAATTGAGATGTAGCTATCTGTTTGTAAAATTATGGGATACGGCAAAATTGACTATGCATATCCATCTTAATCTTTAATGAACAGAATAGCTCTAGACGTACATTGGCATTCTTAATCATTTGGATATAATCATGACTCGACTAGATATGCTATTTAAGGCATATAAATTGGAAAACAAAAGTAATTTTCACGACGAAATATTCGAAAGTTCTATCTATTATTTTAAAAAAATTCAATCATAGCGACAAAAGTCGCCAAAGCGAAATGTTAAGATTCTTTTACATCTTTCCAATGTTATCTAGTTTATATTTTCTTCTATTAAAGATGAAAAACTTTTCAGTAACTACGCAAAGAGATATGAGTTTTAGTTTTCTAATATTATTTTATTTCTATTATTGGAGCTGCATAGGTTTTCATGCTCTTGTTTTTATCGGAAAGAAAACCTTTTCATAGTCAATGATACACTATTTTGAGATCGATGATGTGAAGCAAAAAAAATTTGTTTTTGTCTTTAGAATATTAATACATGCGAGAATAAGATTTTCTACTAATCTCTCAATTTACTTAAAATTAAATTTAGATGATTAGCTTAGGTGAATATTAAGTTGTTATTACGCATGATCAAGTGGTTACCAAGGAGCTTCGCACTTAAGCGAATTAGAAAACGTCATGCTAATGATGTACGGGAATGAACAAAACAATTAAATTCAATTATATTTGTCTAACACAATCATTCAAACTAAAATTTATGTCAATTAAGTGGTCAGTAGAAAGACTTATACTGGCTATTAAACGTAAGGTGGTTCGTTAATACATATTAGTGAAAACTGAAATGATGTCTATTGGACATCTCTCATCGAAATTAAAGGGTCAAAAATTAATCTGAACCTAATTTCCCTCTTGAGTAAATGATTAATCTCCATAAAAGAGGATACCAATCTTCAACAGATTCAATTTCATCTACATATGAATTTCTTACTCGCAATTTGATGATATCTTTGTTTTGTTGCTTCGTACAAAAGCCACTTTCAGAGAAATGATGATCTTGTGCAAGCAAAAGATAAAGCAGAATGCAAAAACAATCCTACTTTTTTTCTCTTGCGAAGCAATATGAAATAGAAGAAAAAAGATTGTTCACTTCGAATGCAACAAATACCAGAATAGTTGCGTCTGGGAAGTAAAACATACAAAAATTGATTCGCTGAAATTGAAAACACTATGAGAAAGTGTCGCTGCAACACAACAACTATGGTAATAGTAGAAGTGATGATATGGTCTAAACGATATGGGTAATGACAAGGCATTTTCTATATCCCTCTGTGCATTTTCGTTTTTTTTTCTCGATTTCAATAATATTTCTCTGCTAGAATCGATCGGATGGAATTCAGTTTTCTATCTAGGATCTTCGATTCGTTGATGATGAAAGAGAAAAGAACTATTTGTAAAATGAAAAACTTATTATTCAAATACTTTTATTTTTTGACTTTTGACTTTCATCATGAAATTCGATTAAATTATAAATTTTCTCGATGTATACAAGATTTTCTCAATCGTTCGTCTTCGAAAGAGAGCTATCCATGACATTAATATTTATAATTCTATTCTTGTTTGAATAATCGATCATTAATCAACTAATAGTGATGAATAGAGAAAACAATTCATTATTTGAATTTTTTCGCTCCATCATAGGTTTGGTTTTCCTTTTCTCTGGAATAGGAATTATGAAATAGTTGAAACTCTCTGATCATACTCAATACACAGTTGATCTTTCCTGACTAAAATTCTTGCCCATATGAGACAGACATATTAAAGGAGTTTTTATTTTGTAAAAAACCCATGTGTTCGAGTGCCATCAAACTGCGACGTAGTTACACGTAGTTGTGATAGAGAAAATTGGGGTATGGGTGTAGATGTCAATCATCTCTTTACCGAGAGTCACAAGCACATCCACATCCAAACACACCCACACCCACACTCTTGGTCTAATGTGGCCTATGACTGCCTATTTTCCAGTAAAACCCTTTGTCATCGTAGTTATTGCAGTTAGACTATGTGATAGAGAGATTCTTGAGAAGTATTAGAATAAGCTCATGTCATATAGGGTGTGGGTGGTTGTGGCTGTAGCTGTGTCTGTGGGTGAATGTTGGGGATGGACGTCTCTTTACCCTCACCCACACTTACATTCACTCACACACACAGATTCACTCATGCACACGCCCATAGACACACATCCCGACCCGATCCAAGTGGAGAAATGTGAGATTCTGTGAAACAAATAGAAAATACTGAATCAGAATTGTTCAGCACTCTATTAAAAATTCTTTAAAAATTTGCTGTCGTCGATTAAGAAAAAATTTATCCTCACACAGTCATGTCTATATTTTTATTTTATTATTACCAAAAAGGATATAAAAATGCTTATTTCTGATTGGTTCGCACACACAAACATGCATACACATTACAAATATATTATTTGAAGTAAAAATGAAAGAATTGAATCTAAATAATAATCAGTATTTTATTTATTGATACATGGCTGGCCCGAGTCAGCAAACATTGGGGGGGTTGTTTCGGATATTTTTAATGGGAATAAAACTTTTTTCTCACACTACTCACGAAAAAAAATTCATTTTTGCTGGGTAAAAACGAAAATTTTCGATTATTGGGAGGTTGTCACAACCCCCAAAACCCCCTATCGGACCAGCCCTGTATTGATATGATCACAATTAATTAAAAAAATTTTCGAAAACGAAGATCAACAAATAATTTTTAATTTTAAAATCTTTTAGCAAGAAGAATCATATGATCATTTTGATCAATATTTGCTATATCAGTAAAACCAAGATATAAATAAAATTTATGTAAACAAACATTTCTTTCATCTAACAAAGCATGACATCCACCATAACCTATAAACAATAATGCTTTTAAAACATTAAGAATTTTAATTTTCGAAATACCTTGTTGAGAAAGATTTTCACTAATAATTTTCATTAATTTACATCCAACATGATAAATTTCATCGGTTTTTATTGCTAAATCAATAAATATTTGTATACGAACAGAATATTGATCATAAATCCATTGTGGACATTTGATTAATTCAAAAAAATTCTAAAGAATTAAAAAGATTTTTACAAAAAAAAAGTTATTTATTTTAGAATTAAATTCAAATAAAAATAAATAAATATTAACTTGATCAACATTTGGATATTTCTCATGAAGTTGTTCAATCCATTTTGTTTGAATTAATTTATCATATTTTTCACTTTCATTTATTGTTAATACAAATCCACATAAATTATCTTCATTATTATCAATAGCATAACAATTATCTACATTATTTAACGAACTTGACAAATATCCACCTATTATCCTAATAATTAAAATACTTACATACATTTACATTTTTTTTTCTCTTTTAAATATATTTATTTATTCTATCTATTAGACAAATTAATTGTCACTTGACCATATTTCAACTCAAGACTACTAAATCAAATAACGATTAAAAAAAAACAACTGGTGACGATTTGTCTACAGATTGACTCGAAATGAAAATCTCTTCAAAAATCAATTTCATCTTGCAAATAATACTTCTGTCTACATTACTAAACCATTGTGGATGTTCATGAACAATTTTTCTAAACACAATGATAGTCGATTCTATCAGATAGCCTACCATTTCTGTCTAATGTACATATCTATCTGTGATAGTGCATTGAACTGCACATAATCATCATGCTCTCCAATGTAAAATCGACATATTTTCAGAGTAGACTGCTATTCTCAAGAGTTTAAGAATGATGCCAAAATATGGCCACACATAAAGCGATGTATATAGAAACATCGTTGGAGAACTTTGGCAAGTGATCTATGATGAGATTGTTTTTGAAAGAGAGAGAGAATATACATATATACTGTTGTCAAGTTGGTAGGTTGAAACAGTTATGATATTAATACTGTCGAAAGTTTCAAACCGGAGAAAAAACTTTCTTCTATAGTGGATATTAGCGGTATTCGTCGTGTATGATTATCGAGTTGTTATAATTTGATAGAGTTTATAACCGAGAAACTCGATCGATGCCGTAAGTGTCAACAACAACTGCCTGTTCATGGCAATACGAAAACACTAGAACTGATACGATTCGATCCAGATGAAAGTCAGATGTAGACCTCCGAAAGACCGCGATTTTTTTCTCACTGTTATCTTTATCATGATGTATTGTATCAAAAGTTCTGCATATTTTTGAGATCCGTTCAAACAAATACAACTGGTCTGCCTTCAATGCACTCTTACAGTATAAATGCACCTAAGCTGTCTGAGCTACCTAAAGAATCTGCATATACTCTAGTTTTGCAACAGATCTTGCTTTTACTCTTAAATGACAAATGAAACTGTACTTTATCTCTCTGTTTTTAAAGTATTTTCGTTCAGAACTCGAGCTTCCATTGAAAATATTTTCTGATATTGCCCATCATTCGATTCGACAGTCACTAGTACGACCCAAGCTTCATCGCTCATATAAATCCAGTCGTTGCTATCACTTTAGTGTACCAGTTGCACTACCGATACATGTACTATATATCGTAGAATCTGATGATTTCTGCTAAACCTAACTGAATATCTGGAGAAAAATTCAATCCATTCTTTGATTCGGTAGAAAAGTCAAAGCTGATCATGACAGTATCTATTGTATCCGTAGCCTATCGGATTTTACCGATATCGTCAATAAAAATACTTCAAAACACGATTTATCCACCCACATTTTGAGATTAACCTTGAGCTCAAAAAATCTTCTTAATGCTGTGAAAAAAATTGTTTTGGTTCTATGAACTACTGTGCAGATCCTATGGACAGAGCTGCCAAAGTTTGTGCCTTCAACATAAGGTTATGTCAGTGTGTTCTTCAGAAAATATCGAGCACAGCATATTTTCATACATATTTTTGTATCCTTTTTAAACTCTTGAGAAGATCAGTCTACCCTGAAAATATATCCATTTTATATTGAAGAACGTGATAATTATAGACAGTTCAATGCACTATTACATTTTTGTCTATGCCTACGCATGATTATTTCTGAAAGGAGAAATAATATTGACTTCTATCTTTAAGATTTATCATGGAAATATATTAAAATCTCGTTTGATATTCATATAAATATATAGAGTTAAAGTCAGAATTTGTAAGATATGAATTAATTTTAAAAGAAAGTCTTTCTATTCTGAATGACTACAATAGAAATTCTTTAATAATAGTTAATTCTAAATAATAAGATAAGGATTTGTCAGTCAAATTAACGTATTTTCATATAATATTTATTTGCTTTGAATTTCTAGTTAAAAAAAATAAAGAAAAAAACAAACGAACTTGTCAGATAAAATTTGTGGATGTTGATTAATAAGATGATCAATATCATATTGGTAAGAAATAGTTGTACATAATGCATAAATAGATGTCTAAAAAAACTAAATTGAAATAACTTATTTTATTTTAAAATAAAACAAGCATGATCGTTCGAAGTTATTGGTCGAATAATAAATATATTTAATAATGAATTCAATCCTGGTTAAATTAAAGATTGAAAATCACCTATTGGTAATAAATCCTATTAAATAATTATTTAGTTATTTATAAAAGATATTTAAAAGAAAGAAAAAATAGAACAAACAAGAAAATCTCCAGCAAGACCACCTCGTCTTGACCATGGTTCTTCATCACCTGACATAAATACTGATGAACGTTTTTGATGATCATCTTAAATAAATAAAATAATTAAAAAGCAAAAAAACCCTTAAATTTAATAAATGTATAACCAATCCAATAAAGATATTTTGAACAAAGAACAAATGTTGAATTAATATCATTAATATAATTATAAATATCATAAAGTAAAGCACGATTATTTATAGATACTAATTTTTGAAGTAAACGAGATACATCTTTAACATTATTATTGAATACTGATACACGACGACGCCAATCATCTAACTTAAATAAATATTAAAAAAAAAGAAAAGAAATAAGAATAATACTTAAGGTTAACCAAAAGTTCTAATCCCTGTGTTTAAAGAACCTTGTCGAAGAAGGTAACTTATTCAGAAATGAAAAATCAGATATACGATATTGTACAGCATTTTGAGGTGCATCGAATGGTATATGCTAAATCCTGTTTTCATAAGACTTTGAAGGAACTAGAGTCAATTTACTGATGGACGTAGTCTACCGACCAATCGAGATGAATCATCGATTCAATATCAAATGTAGAACACACTTATGCACTTAGTGGCGCTAATTTCTTAATATCCCGGGACACTTTTTCAAGAGGTGATCTTTACATCAAATTGTAGCTTAGAGAAAGGGAGTTCCTTCTATGGGATCAGATTTTTCGACCCAATTTTTTTTTCCAGAGAAAATCACTAATTAAGCCTGCCAATGGCGTGCAATGGAACACCACAACCAATGAAAGCAGTACATAATGGCACTATTGTTCTCACAGTACACAGAAGTACGAAGTAAAACAAAGTTATCATGGCATCAGACATATAGTATGCTGACAGAACGAAAAAAGTATAGCGTGTTAATCGAATCAATATCAAATACACTATTTGCGACGATTTCTGAAAACAATTAGATAGGCCGAATTTTTGACTTATATCACTCGATAGAGGAAAATTTTCCCTATCGGACTGTGGTTTTAGTTTTTTCTAGAAAATTGTCTAAACCCAAGAAATAATCGAAACAAACTGACCAATCAAATCACATAAACACTTCTCATTTGATATTGAATCAATGATTCATCTCTATTTGTCAACATACTAATAGTACATTGTCTTCTATGTGGTCGACGGGAAAGAGGCGAACGTTCAAAATATATAATAATAGGAACTTGAACGACAACAAAAATTTTGCGATGGTTATGAAAAACTACTAACCAGTCCGCATGCAATGACTTCTGTAAGAGTCGTCTTTGTATTCCGTATCATATTTTCTCTTTTCGATTTCTATTTTAGAAAATACCTGTTCCATCAGTGTTTCTGGGTGTGGGTGTGAATATTTTAACCGAATACGCTCTCAGCAACATCCACCCACACCAACAGCCACCCCACACCCACATCCTGGGGATGATCTTTCGAAAGAGTTTTAAGGTCGATTTTGAGGGATTTTTTGAGAAATGAGGCTGCTTCTTTGTATTCTCTCCGGTCCTGTTTCATTAATGCCAGCTGATGATAGATTTCGGCTCGATCTCTATCGTTGGCTGTCTGTTCTAGTAGTGCTGTATACAATTCTTCGGCCTTATCGAATTTACATATTTTGAGCAGCAATTCGCCCATTCGACACCATCCACTGCTACCGATCTCTCCTCGTATGTGATCGGTTAATTGACGGAGTTGTTGATCGTCATCTGACGTAAGTTTTAGGTCGATTTCGTAAAGTGCACGATTTTTGTCAGTTTTTCGAATGTCATCAATTCGAAAAACACTGTGCATGAAGAAGAGGATTTCATCTTCTTTCTTATAATAACTGTCCTCTCGGATGGAGGCGAAGGGGGTCGTTGAGATGATGGGATCAATGATTATTTGAAAGAAGATACCAACCATATCGTTTGTTACTAAGGCATCTTTGGCGAAACCGAGAGAGACGTCACGGTTTTTACTGGTAGATAAACAGTTATTGAAGGATATAAGTCCACCTTTGTTTTTGAGGAGTTTCTGGAAGGCTGCTTTCGATAATCATTGGCCCCGATAAACTCGAAAGGCCTGTCCATGATATTGACTCACGTGTTTTTTGTGTAATTGCTCGATCTGTCGATGAACATCACGCAGGAAAAATCTCATTCGGATGAGAACATCACCATCCCGAGTTTTTAATGCTCTACTGAGCGCTGCGTATATAAAGGATTGGCGCGTATACTACGAAATAACCAGTAATGGATTATAAGTATGTTGGCTTGAACATTGCCTTGGTATTCTTGTTGACAGAAAGTGACAAAGTTTGTGATTGCATCTTGGCCATGTTCCAGATCAAGGAGTATTTTCTTGAATATTTGAGCGTGCATGAAGGATGGTTCTAGCTGATTGAGACTTTTGCCAGAACCTCTTTCATTGGGACCAATGATACTGACCGTCGTATTATTTTGATTGCATCTCTTAACAGCTATTTGCAATGCTTGGCATATGGACTTCATTGATTCGTGGACACCTTTTATGTTTGTCCAATCTTTAGCCCATGCCTTATGAAATTTCTTGTTATGACAAACGATGTATATGGAATGTAATTGTGCCATACCATGAATGTTCGGTACGAGGTTTTGTCCAAGTGTACCAGAGGAGATAACGAATGATGTTTCCTCCTTATTGTCATTGAGCCATCGGTTACATTCTTCCGCCATGGTGCACATATGCACTTCATTGACAACACCGTACAATTGCTTGAACATATTTTGACAACTTTTATCTGCCATATGGATATTGCTATCGACCCAGATGATCAAATAGTTTTTCAGTCATGCGTCGCCTTCTTTGTCCGCTGATTTGGAGGAAAATTTTTGTCGTTTGATTGATATTTGAGCATGATACAATGATAAAATGCTGTTGGGACAGAATCTATATCTTCCATTCATACATTCGAAGCGCATTATTTTTTTCTTGATTTTTCTACGACCTCAAATGTGGATATTTTTTTATTGACGCTGAAGGACAAACTTTGCCTACTTTTGATCGAAAATGTGATTCTCAACAACAAATGAAGCGAAAAAAAAACAAAACATCATTTATTTTACTGTTATTTTTTTCATTTTTCGTCTGCTTTTCATGTGTATAATAACTTTGACGTGATTACAATAGATACCTTGTCTCATATGTTGTCTATTTTTCTTTGATTCTTTCATAACAACCTTTTTTTCCTCTTGCTGACAAGAACGAAAAAAAACAAGAACATCGTCTGTTTGATTTTTTTCTCCTTATAACTGTATCTAATTTTCATGTTGATAATACGAATGAAACACGAAGAAACATCATTTTTAACTTTAATTAAGGCAATAATCGAACAACTGTTTCTACTTGCCAAATATACTGCTGATCATTAACCAGCAATTGAAGTAAAAGAACTATTCTCATTGTGCTTAACTCTCAGTGATATGTAACGTGTCTTATGGTGATTGAAGTACTGATGATTTGCATAAGTGAAATTCGAAATTAGTGAAAGAGTGAGGTATCTATCACCAATTTGAAAATGAATTGAACACTTGAATGAACGCTTAACACATTGATATAGAAAAAAGTAACAGTTTTATACCAATTATCATCCAAATTTCATCTAGAAAGTCACGCATGCAAACTATTACTGAATAGATAATGCAAAATTAGAAGAGCTGCCTAATTGAAGTTTTGAACTTTAGTCGTGTTATGTACTATTAAATAGTTCGAAATCAAATTCAAACCAATATTCAAAATAAAATTAGTCTTTACTTTCTCTGTCATTTCAATAGGATAGTCGTCACTTGAATGAAAATTACACATGAAAATTTATAGTTTGCTCTTGTTTGTTAGCGCCATACGTGAATTTGAACGTTTCATTTACATTCGAGCTCGTATTAGAAAAATACTGCTAAATTCATTTATTTTACCGTCAACCAGAAAATGTTGATCCTGAACAATTTGAATCAGAGGAACATCGTTATGATGATGATCCGGTGCAGCCCGCTATCGTACCCACAGATCAAGCCGAATAGAGTTTAACATGGCCAGAAGAAAACTGAATCATGGAATTTTCACGAAATAAAATCGCAGCGAGAATTATTCATCGATCAAGGTCTCCATAGAAGTTACCAATTCAATAGCATGCCACGGAAGAAAAAAAATGGGACAGACTCGACCAATAACTCAAACTTGGACGAGAAAGCTCATGTTTTGAACCATTGCTGTCTGCAGTCGACTTCAATATCTCAGCCGAATCTGATTTATTTTGGCCTGATGGAACAGAATCGTGTCATATTTACGATGTAAAACCTCAACGACAATCAATAGTCGAGAAATATGGTTCCGTACACTTTTGCGTCCCACAGTCAATCGACGTGAAGCACAGACGCGTCGATCTTAAACAAGTACTCGAATATGAAAACAATGGTTTCTGTGATCGACAACCATGAAATGCCACTGCAACCGACAATCGACGTTCAGCGCTTGAACTTGCATTCAAGTCAAACAGTCGCTGTGAATCGAAACGAAAAGTTTAACGAAACCTTTTATTGTTATCACCTATTCATAATCAACAAGCACGATCTAAATATCGTATCTGTAATTGGTCGATAAATTTAAATCACATGTCGTCATTTCTGTCACGTAATTCGTCAAGTAAGACGAAAATACGGCCGAAACTGGTTTCAGCAACAAAATCGAATCATTATAGTAACAACATACAACCCAGTTCCTTACCACAATTACTGCACCTTACGGACACATATTTGGCTTATCTTTTAATATTTTTATTATCGATACTAATCCGAACCGGATTCATGTATACTTCGACGAACAACGCCTTGAATTCTGTTGCCAAACGAACTATTGGTTCCGAATTATTTGTCGGCGGTAAATTATCAGTTATTGGCGCTCGACAACGTTCGTTAACCCTTTACCCGCCAGTGGATCATTTTCGACTCATCTAGAAAACCTATCTGTTTGGAGCAATTAAGCATCGAATCGAGAAGGTTCTTTACCATTGTGTACAACACTCAGTGTGCTGTAATATGCTTAAGAATTAACCTTTTTCTCATTGTCTATTGGTAAAATATTTGAGCTGGAAAATCATGATTTTTCGAAAAAATTGAAAAATTCAAGTTTTTTGTTTATCCTTTTTTTATTAGCACAAATTGATCATTTATTTTTTTAAACGATTGATATATGTTACTTAAGACATCAATTATTTATCTAGAATGTTTTCACAAAGTAATGAATTAATGCATGGAAAAGCCATTCTTTGAAACAACTTGGATAAAAAATCACTCATTGATGTTGAATGACATGAAAAAATGTATACTTTGGTAGGGGATTTGTTTTCAATATAAACTCATTATTAACAATATTTTCATACTAAAAGCATTTATTATGATTAATAATTAATTAAAAAGCAAGTCGTGATAGTTTTTCAAGAACCTTGTATCGGGTGGGTGTGAATGTTGTTCTTGTCAATAGTCACCCACACCCACACCCACACCCCATCAGGCACGGCCGATAGTGGCTCCAAGTGGAGTTGCGCTTTGTTCAATTGAATTCCTCATGAATTTCGATTCCATGGAATTCAGCCCGTATTGATTTTTGCAGTGGGCTTCTAGTCTATAGAAGAAGGGGGACTGATAATTTAAGTTCCGATCATTTATATACTTTTTACTGAGCATTTATCTTACTGATCGTTTCATCTGTTTGACTGACCAAATATTTTGGTGCCTTTTTTATATAGCATCTACATTTATTTTCCAATCTTATCAATAGTAACATTCTTTTTCTTAAAAATCAAAAAACTTATAAAAACGGAAAAAAAATTGAAAAGTTAGTGTTTTTTTGTAGATCACCATATTATAAATTAGAATTGAGTTTTAAGATACGCGGTTTCGTTGTTTCAGCCATCGTATAAACCAATTTTTCTGCTGCTACTTTATTCTTCATCATTCGTTTGAATCCTTCTTCTACTCCATTAAGACCACCTGGCATCATAGTCACTCGATTTGGTTTGAGAAGACCTTGAGGTAACAAGACATTCGATAATAACTTGTAGAATTTTTCAGCAAATTCTTTGTCTTGTGGTTTAGCTTGAAAAACTTTCCGAAAAGCATGTATTTCATGTCCATATATTGAATACATTAAGACAAAATGTTCCTTGATATGTGATGGTATTTCATTGGATGGAATAGGTAGAATAGTAACGACTTGCGAATTTTGACCTGTGAGGGCAGCACAGACTTGTTTTATTGATCCTTTTTCTGAGATAC